ACAAATAAATTTTTAAAATTTTAAAATATCACGAGATTAGCAATATTTGAAAAATTGTCATTTTCATTTCCGAGTTATAGAAAACTTATTTGCATCGGTACAGGAACTGCAAGTATGATTTTTCTGCATTGCTAACAAAATAACAACTCGCCCTTACCTCTACTCTTACCATTACGCAAAAGGAGAGTTCAACAAAACGTGCACAAGTGAAGCTACATTACGTCCCAGAAGCAAAACAAGGACCTCTCAAGCAATTTGCTCAATGGATGCAGGGAAAGTTGACAAAACCGGATCGAGATGGGAGTGCATTAACCTGGAAGCTGAGTATAATTATTTGGCTAACACACATATTAAGTCTTTTAAAAAAATTATACAATACAAATGTAAACTAATTCATTATATATCACTGTTTTGTTAAAATAAACATTATTTTTCTTTTTGATAATCAGTAAAATCTCTAATTGTTTAGAAACAGTTATGTTGCAGAAAAGATTTTACTTTTAACTTAATTTGTGAACCGACTTCAATTGTTTAATGTCATCTGGCAGTGCGTTGTGAAGTAAAGTTCATGTATTGTATGTGGATTTCTGATAGTGAGCTGTTGATACCTACGCTTGATGAACATGATTTCTACATGTGTTATAGTTATAAATACCAGTATTGCATGAAAATATGTTCCCACTCTTAAGTCAGTTTTGATGTATATTACAGATTCATAAATATATAGGCAAGGCAGTGGTAAGAGTCCAAGATCAATGAAGAGAGGCTTGCAGGGTTCACGCGCATGGCATTTTTTCTTTATTCCAATAATTGTATTTTGCAATCTAAATGTCTGAGCATTACATGATGAGTTTCCCCAGAATTTTATACCATATCTCAGGCAGGAATGTACATTTACAAAATACATGCAACAAGCTGCATGAAGGCTGACAGAATTTGAAAGAATTCTGAAAGCATAGCATAATGACATGTTACAATTTACAAAGAAAGTTCTAATGCCTTATCTACTGAATAGCAGATATGGTAAACGATGTAGGTTGAAAAATTTCGAATGGTTACCAGGGTTGCTCAGACAGAAGGTATGGGGCAGTAGATTCAGGGGCCTGCTTATTTCAAACAAAATTACTTCTCCTACCCTTCCCCTCACCTATACATCACACCAGAAATCACCTCTCCAAGCAAAAGAAATAACTTAATTTGAATTCATGTAAATACCTTTTTGTTAGGAAAGAAAAATAATTTTCGGAGACCCTTTTAAGTTAAGGCCTGGGGATAGATGGCCCAGCTGCCTCCCTCTTCTTTACCACTGACAACTACTGGTATATCAGACATTTGAAAAATATATAAATAAAAAAAAATCATTATTAAATTACTTTTTATTTTAAAAATGTATGAAAATAGGACTTAATTTCAACAGAAGTAAGTTGGAATTAACTAATAAATAGCTCATTTTGCCTCATTACTCTTAATTTATTGATTTGAGTTCTTATTTTTATGCCAATTATCTATTTTATTGTTTCATTATTACTATTTTATTGCTTCATTATATTACTTATTTTTACTTTATTTTGTTATATCTAATAAATAATTTTATCATTGTTTTGTTTCTTGATTTGTTGAGTTTATTTTTGTTAATTACAAAATTTCAGTTTGTTAATTATGTATAACAACATTTTTTTTTTATTACTGCTTAGCAATGTAAGATTATTGCTAAGCACAGTGTTATATTAATATTATTTTATATTTTTTTGTCTTCTGTTGAAGATTTTAATTTGTTAATTATGAACTACATGCTAAATTTCAGTTACTACGGTTCACTCTATAGATGATTGAGAGGACACTAGTCACCACTAGTATCACGTATTTGTTTTTATTTTTATATTTAAAGGTAATGGTTTTGTTTGACGTTGAATATTTTACACTGTACACTTTAACTCAATATAGCAGTTTTTAGAATTAAATTCAAATTAAGTCTAGCATGATAATCTGTACACTGCTGAAAATAGTAATATTAAAAAATTAAATTGTTTAAAGTTAGTAAACTACAATAGTTTGGTAAGGAAAAGCTGATATCTGTTTTCAATTCTATATGCAATACATTGAATGAAATTGGAAAATATTTGTTTGAAATATCTTGAGTGTTAACCTGAGGGTAAATTCAATATCATAGTCATGCATATTATTTTTTATTTAGTATTTTTAACATTAGACTTTAAACATTACAACACTGTAATCAATATGATAAAAAACCCTAAAACAAAAATTCACAAATTCCAAAAGAAACGTGGTGTAATTAACAAAACATCAAGAACCAAAGTAATGAAGAATATAATCCTAAAATTGTATAGTTATGTCAGTCTCCATCTGCACATATGGAAATGAATCACAGACCATTACGAAAGCTTCAAGATGCTGAAAAGCAGTTTCTGAGAAGACTGAAAGGATGCTGAAGAACATACACTCAAAAAAACACTAACATCAGGAATAAATTCAACATATTTTTCCTTTGAGAAAAAAATATAACAGTATAGAAAACACTGTCAAGATCATGTTGATAGAATGGAAGATAGCTGATATTCAAAAGTTATTAATAATAATTGTAGTAATAATATTTATTGAATCACATATACAATTACAATATTGTGTTTATGTCTTTAATATCATTGCCTAGTTTGTTGAATTCTTGCCATCTGTTAGGGTACTTTTTTGATGAAGTGTAGTTTCAGAGTTGGAAACATGTAGGTTATCCTTTTGACGAGTGTTGTAGTTGTGTACATCGGAATTTAAAGTAAAAGTGTCTTTGTTTTCCATGAGAATTTTTTGTGAAGATCACTATTTGAAATATATACATGCATAGTAGGATTCTTCCTCTTAGTTTATTGATCAAGGCAGGACTCTAGCTTATGAGTGCTGGTTATTGTTCGCAATATTCTTTTTGGATAATAAATGTGGAAGTGCTTTCAGGGGCATTTCCCCAGAATATTATTCCATATTTTATGTGTGAGTGCACATTTGCAAAATACATTATTTGAAGTGTCTCAATGTTGGAGCTTGACCTGAGGGTGTATAGGGCATTGCAAGATTTGGTGAGCTTCTTGTTAAGATTTGAGATGTGAGCATTCCATTTTAGGTTTTCTTGAATTGTTAGACCGAGGAAGGTAGTTTCATGAAATATCGTTACAGGGTTATTGTTTATGAGCAATTCTGTGATTTTCTTTAGATTGGGGATTCATGAAATTTAGAGAGACTGTCTTGCTGGTGTTTATGATGAGTTTGTTGTTTTGAAACCATTTTACTAGTGCATTGCAAAATTTTGTGGGTTTTTGATGATAATGTTTGTGTTATCTGCAAGTAAAATTATTTTGTTATTCCTTAAAGCCAAAGGCATGTCATTTATGTATATAAGGACCAGTATTGGCCCACAGATGGATCCTTGCGGGACTCCACAATTTATCATTTGAGGGCAGGAATAGTATGAGGAGATTTTGTTTTCTTTAGTGTGCTGGAGGGTTACTATTTGGCTGTGTTTTGATAAATATGATTTGATCCATTGGCCTGCAATGCCTTCCTAGCATTTCTATTTTTCTTCAAAGTATGTGATGGTAAATAATGTCAAAGGCTTTTGACAAATCTAAGAAAAGGCCAATGGGAATTTCCTTCTGATTTAGGGCAACAAGTATGTCATTTAAAAAGGAGAAGATGGCTGTGTCTGTGGATCTATTCTCCTGAAGCCATGTTGTGCATTTGTAAGGACATTATTTGCATTGAAAAAGCGTTTGAGTCTATCATTGAAAAGCCTTTCCAGAAGTTTTGAAAATCCTGATAACAGGGAGATAGGTCCTGATAACAGGAAGATAGTTCATTGGATCATAACTACTGCCCTTTTGAAACGGTTTAATTTTTACTCTTTTGAATATATGTGGGAATATGACTGATTTTAGAGTAATTGCAGATGTGAGAGAGTGGTTGCACTGTGTTTAATAAGAAAATCTGGAATGTTGTCCATGCCTGCTGAGAATTTATTTTCCATTTGTCCAATGATTTTAAAAATTTCAGAAGTGGTGATTTGATATAAAAATATGGAATTTACAATTTGTGTAACATTACTGTTTGGTTGGTGAGTGTTGAGAGATTAACTTATTACTAATTTGTGAAAAGTGTTCATTGAATATATATTTGAGCTATTTCTTATGGGTCTTATACAGTTTGGTTTTTGTAGTGGAGCTCTATATTTTTTCTATTATTATTAGTTGGTGCTGTAGTCTTTTTAATAATGTCCCGCATAGCTTTTGTTTTGTTGCGTGCATTTGCACTGTACTCATCATTTGTCATAATTTTTGCATGTTTGATTACTTTTTTAGGATCGAATTATATGTTTTGTAATATGAAATTAAGTTTGTTGTGTGTGAGTTCCATTTGTTTTTTGTTAGTATTTTATACATGTTGCATTTTCTTTCACATGACACTTTGATCTTTTTGAGTTTTATATTCCGAGTGAAAGAAGAAATGTGAGAAGAACTAGAAGCTGGTAGAAAGACACTATCAAAGGGACAATAGTATTTTTTTCTTAGGTACCAGCTTCCATGATCATGGAATTTCATCTTGAAACAAGAGACATGAAGACTGAAATAGTAATAGTCAAATAGCAAACATTTAGAAAGTATTTGATAGGAGTCAAATGGCAAACATTTAGTAAGATCACATGATTCATAAAATTATGAGATGATTTAATTTTTAGAAATTTCTGTCGAACAATGATCCAATCTCATAATATTGGTCAGAAATTAGTTTAATATTCTAGTCATGCTGAAATAACGATTTTCAGTAATTTTCAATTTATGTTTAATTATAAGCATGTTCAGTAGCATATTTAGTGATTAATTATAATATTCATTCATTCCCTTTTATCAATGTGAAAATATTACATAAATGTTGAGAAGAAAACGTATATGACTAAATTGTTAAATGCCTAAGCCTCTACCGGGTCCAGTTGCTCTTACCGCTGAGCTAACAAGACGACCTATTCGGAACAAACCTTTCGAATTCGTCGTATTTGGTGTAACCATACTGGCGAGAATGAGGTAACAATGTGTTGTAGTACGATGTGTTGAAATTTTGAATATACCGCATTTGAAACTTCTTTATTCTATGCCACTGACAAGAATTATCATGCATGAGAAAATGATCGCTTATTTTTATAATCATGAATATTATATTTCCGCTTTCAAAACCGTATGAAGCTAATTAACTCTTAGATAGATATTCACATTAAAGTATAATTTATCAACACAAATAGTATATGACAGTGGTTCTCGAAATAGTGTTTGTTGTGAATCGTTTTGTAGATTCGTTCATGCGGAGGTCAATATGTCAATGTGAAGATTAGTTTGTGTTAAATAACAATATATGGTGATGCTCCTTATTTAAACCAGGGTTTGAAGCGTTGGAGCAGTGAATTCAATACAATGAATTAAAGTGGTTTTGTGTGCGTGCAAGGATACACAATATAAACACGTAAGCGCGTAAGCATACCACACTTTTCTTTCAAATTAACTTACAACTAATGTGACTATAGCGAACATTTGAAATAAGGCGAAATTGTGACGATTGTGACTCAATTTGTTTCTCCTTTTGGCTGTTTTCCGGTGTATGTTAAAACATAACCTATAATGTTTGAAGTTACTTTTGATATTCGTAAGCACAAGAATTGCACCTTTTAAAGAATCCTTACGTTTTTGTTTTTGTTTTTTGCGGCTCATTTTCACTCGCTCTACTTTTAACGTTTATTTCCTGTCTTTAGCAATCTCTCGCATACGTGCCTCACTTTTCCTCCGCTCTCCGCACTGAGCTCAACCTTGCTACCGGACAGTGCGGAAGGGGAATGGTTAGTTGGTGCGACTGGAGGCCACTTGTGAGCTGCGTCAGATGGAGCTGTGATAGTCCGAGAACACTGGTTGCCCGCCCGGCTGCCCGACAGCTTCTCTAACATACTTTAGCGAAATTAGAGTGATTATTGAAAAGTATTAAAATATCATTATTGGATATCGGCAATAAAATTAACTAACTTCATCGTTCCAGCTGATTGTTGTTTTGCGTGTGACAAGATGCCAGAAGAACGAGAGATAATCAAGAAACAGAAAACAGTAAGTTTATATTGTTTAAATTAATGTCAAGAATGCAGAAGTTTCATCTGTATTATTGATTTTTTTTTAGGAATTTAATATGTTATTTACTGTTAAAATGCAATATTTAATCTTTATGAAGGCGATTTTTCTTCGTTATTATTAGTCGTAGAATATTATCTTTAAAAATATTGTGTTAGATTACTGAAGGTAAACAAAAAAAAACATGATTTCAATGTTAGTTGTGCATGCTCGGATTTTTTTTTCAGCGAGCATTACAACCCGTTTTTCATTGCCATGTTGTAAGATATTTACAGTTATGATAGATATTCTTAGAGTTAATCCCACGTACAAGACAAAATATACTAAAGTTTTGATACCAAATATCAAAGTGTGTGACGATTGATCATTTCATGAGTTTGAAATGCCGCCAGTGGATCGATTTATCTCACCGAAACTCATTCGCTATTGAAATCATATAGTTACGACTTGTAGTTGAAATTATATTTGCTTTACATTTGGTTTAATAATTTTTTTTGGGGGGGGGGAGTAGTACATGTATTTACTGAATAATATTAATGAAATTTAAAGGAAAATTTATTTTGGCGTACGTGAGCGTAAAAACAGGGTGATTTTCTGAAGTGTTTTAATGTTTTACGCCTACTTAATACCCATTTATTAATTAGTATTATTTAGGATTCTATTATTGAAACATTTTCCTCGATGTTCAGTGAAACGGACTTGCAGAACCATACCGGTGAACGATAGAGCTACGTCGTCAGCCGTTTGGTTTCTTTCTTAAAAGATGTGCATCTTGTAAAGTACCCTAAAAAACTGATGGAATTTTTTCAAGAGCTTCAGCTCAGGCCAAATCGACAAGAGTTTCTTCAATTTAGAAACTATCCTACGCATGGTTGAGGCGAGAGTGTTTTTCTCAAACACCAAACGGACGGACGTTTGAAAAGGAAAAAAGGGGGGAAAACTTCTTTTTCGGTGCCAGGGGACCAAAAACTTATTTCCGTTGAAATCTCTAAATCGATTTTCTGTAGCATTACATAACTTTCTTTACACTACGTATATTATTCCATATCTATACGGGAAAGTAATGATGTTTAAATAACGCCTATAATGTAAATATTAATAGTGTGAGAGATATTTCAAAAAATAGTATGTTTGTGTAATTTATGGAAAAGCAAAAGAATACATAAAAATGACGTTGATGTCCTATTGTTTTGGTATTTAGAATTATCCCCACAAAAGGTTGAAGCAGTTTTGAGAAAATCATGTTTTGATGGTGTTAATATTTCCACTCGAAATTGCGCGGAAACTTCTCTCTTTAAAGAAAAGTGTACAGGACGTTAATTAATGAGCTACATGTGAAGTAAAAATTTTATGGGATGAAATAAACCTCTATCTTCAATAATGTTTTCGAATAAGGGAGGTCCAAAAAATTTCAAACTTTTGGAATTTAAAAAATAAAAAAAAAAGACAGTTGAACAGTCAGACGATTGGACAGATTAACAGACAGACGAAAGGACCTTTCGGAAGAAAAAAACAAAAACGAAAAAAGGTTTCGGTATTAGGTAACACCAAATCATGAATTTCTGATTAAAAATCTTGAAATCAGTTTTCCCGAACATTAAATAATTTTCTCTGAATTACATATATTACTCCACATGTGCCAGGGACGAATCCAGTCGATCTTTTTTAGTGGGGGAATAGATTTTTGTTAAATAACAAACATATTTATCTTAAATTATTTTTATAGTGTACATAAGATACCATGCAATATTATTTTTTTAAATAATTACGTAGTTCTAACATATCTAAATCAATTTTGTCAGAGAAAGGACGGAAACAAACGAAAACCAGGCCGGGGGGGGGGCATGCCCCCCCTGGCTCCGCCACTGGCCTGTACAAACGATACCTTTACTCCTTTACGATAAAGAATAGTCACCCCACAAGTGTAATCCCTTACATTGTTCAATCGTAATTACACGTTTCCGGGTTTGTAGGCCTTGGTCCAACGAAGACTGGTCCAGTCACGTACATCTTATGAGCAAAATGTGTGGATTCTGGATAATCTCCGTTTGATATTTGTGCAATTTCTAACAAAAACATTCTCAAATAGCACTCCTAATTTTTCTTCAATTTGTTTCTACTGATAGAAGAAGGGACTCTTCAAAGAATGGCGCGAGTCTCAATTTCGTTGAACACAATCATCGAAAATTGTAAATTTAGAAATACTTTCTCGCTACGGTTCACGCAGTATAGAGAAAGTATTGCAATACTTTAAAACAAAACGACAAATTTTCGACACAAAAACTCGTCATGCCGGTCCTGGTAACGAAAAAGTGGGTAAATCGAGTCAAGTAAATTACTTCCTCTAATAAGTCGTGTATTCAGAACCCATGTTTTCTAGGTCCTTGATACCGAAAAATCTATCGACGTGCCCGTCTGCAAACAATGCTGGAGGTTGAACAGGATATTTACCGAAATGGATATTCCCCAATCAATCTGGTTGTTGTCGCGGCCCCTTGAATTTGAAACCGGTATTTTAATTTTGGAGATACTTTACATGAACATACTTTACGTTGATCTCCTTTACATGAATTCGTTGAATTGAACTATCGATTATAATTTTTTTACCAGAGGTAATCTCGAACCCCAATGACCATGGATACTCGCAAGTCTATATACAATATAAGATTTGTAAAGATGTAGAATGTTCCTTTTTTGCATAAAATATACAAATACGTTTTGTTGAAAAATCTTGAACAAAAATAGAATTACTTCTGTGGTTCCTTTGAAGCCTTTAACTCTAAAATGGATAATTTTAGAACAAAGTCTTATATGAATTTTTCTGTAGAAGATTTTATCTACTTTAAGTTTATATATAACCATTTTTCTGTTAGATTGATAGTTATGGAGATACATGCAAAAAATATCGAAAAGGCACCTTCAAACTGCCTCCCCGCCCCGCCCCGGGCTTAGCCCACAATTGAGGATTTTTAGTATGTTATGCAGTCAAACAATCATGCCATGTTTCAAAACTCCCGAGATTTTTTCCTTCGATCGCCATTTTTACTTTCTATCACTTACTGGCGTAAGAAGAGAAAGTATTGTAATCGTGCGCCGGGAAACTGCGATTTTTCGACACAAAAACTCTTATTGCCGGGCCCTGGTAACAAATAAGTGAACAAATCCAGTTGCTAAATATAGAAAAAAATTCTGTTATATGGTGTAGCCAGAATTCACATTTTGTGCGTCCTTCATATGGAAACGTCGATTGACGGTCAAACGTTCGTCTATTCGTCCGTCTGTCTGTGTTGTGACGTCGAGTGCGAGTGAAACACAGCCACGGAGTTTTATATGTACAGATTTATTTATAATTTTTTCTATACAATTCTGAGGAACTAGCGCTGCACTCCCAGCACTGCATATCCCTGAGGCATACCTGCCTCAGCCTGACACAGAGCTAAGCGGCTAACTTAGCGCCGCTCCTGGTCTCTCGTCCCGTAGCGAACAGCCACACCTCGCAGCCGAAGCTAGCGATAACCCCTGGCTGGTGACAAGTGCCTTCCGCACCGCGATGCGGTTCAAACTCGAATGCCCCCGCCTTTTTTACTCCCCAGCGCCTCGCGAGGGATCACGTGACAGACTTCCCTTGCCGGCGGCATCCTCTCATTACCGAACCCTGGCCCTGGTTGCGATTTGGAGTCCAGCTGCTCTGCGACTTTTTTCGCCAATCATCTCCCTCTGCGCCAGTTGACATCCGCGTTCCGAGACACGCCCACCCCGGCCCCTCGGGGCGGCACCCGCTTTGGTAGTCTTCCGCCTGCCGCCGAAGGACCGCCCCGCCCCCTCGCCGGCCTCCCGACATGTGGCGTCCAGGTGGCCCATTGGCACGACGTTACACTGTGCACAACGCTCGCTCGTAAATC